GCATTTTCCCCCTTCTGGTCAGGATGTGATACAGAAGCAGAAGCTGAATGACAGCTGATTTTTCTGCAGGTTTTCTGCAGCGCTCATGCAAATGGTGTACGGCTGTTCAGCAAAATAAGACGACTTTTTCACGTTCCTTTGGCTTTTACCCATGACCATTTTTTTTCTGCTTGTTGGCAGAACGGTGAGGATGGGATTGCATGATGGGATTATGAGTATTTCTAAACTAAAGGCCCTGACAGATCCTTGGCACTTAAAGCTGTTATGATTCCTTATCAGATGGATCAGAAATGCAGACTGGACTATCTCACTGGCTGATTCATTGGCCGAACGGTGACATTTCAAACCCACAAGCTCGTCTGGATGTTAATTGTCAGGGGGACTAAAGCTTGTTGGAATACGGGCTGTCTCTTTCCATATTATATGCACTTTATGTAGTTGAGTCTTGCAGTATCTCTATAATTCACTCTTCTGCCATGAGGTGGGATGGTGCAACGTCCTGTTCTTCAGATGAACCGAGAGTGCTGCCCAGATGGTGAATGAGACAAGGGATTCACTGCTTCTGACTGATAAGAATCCTGGGCAACAGTTAGCAGGCCAGTATTTTCTGAGAAAGAATTTATTATAATGCTTTTGAGATCTGTCAATGTTTCTGTTAACACCAGAACACTCTGGGGTGTATTTTCAAGCCAGGGTTTCCAGTCCTGCTAACAAGCAGTGGAGTTTGTGCACATACCTCCATGGGCTCACGTGGAAACGTACGTGAAGCATCAGAAGATTCCTGGATGCGTGTTTAAGGCTTACTGCATTCTCTAAAGACTGAAAGAGGATTTTCCTAATGCTGTAAGTTTTGATCTTATGGAATGTATGTACTGGGAGAAATTACTCCTGGTGGCTGGAATAAATGCTGGAGTTGTTCAGCGCAGAGCTGTCATGGTTCTGGTCTGCCTGGTGTGACAGTGGAAGAGCCTGGGCTATTCTGGAGAGAACTCTGTTCAATGTACTTAAGCAGGAGAATGTCCCTGTGGTGTTATTCAGAAGTTATTCTAAGCAACCTTACCTCAGGATCTTGTTTCTCAAATCCAGACAAGACAGAACTGTGCATGCGTGTGCGTAGAATATGATGCTGGTGTTTGGTTTTCATGAGATTCACCACATTAGTGCCTTCTTGCTCTGAAGTTGGCTCTTGGAATGCAATGATTCAGTGTCTCGCTGGCAGTGTGACAAGTAGGACTTGGTTCCTGCAGGTCTGTTTCCTTGCCTGGCTTTATTTCCACTGCTGGGTAACTGTCTCTGCAAGAGTTGCTTAACAAAAGCAATGAAATGCACATTTTGCTGGAAAATGAGCGCTGAGTTTTGCCCATTTCCTTTAAATGGAAAAGTGAACCTAACATGCCTTGTTGTTATCAAGGGATTTGTTTGCTGGAGGCAAGCTGATAAATGGTGCCTGGGGCCTGTGGGCACAAATAGATCCCAGGTTCCTGTTCATGCAGCAGCCTTTAAATGTTGCATTAGCAATGTTAGTAAGACCAGACGGATCCAGGAATGTCTCTGCCCGGGGCTTGAAGTAAAGCTGGAGAAAAGCAAAACAGCTGACTTTAAAAATGTGTGCTTAGAAGCTGGGAAGTAATGAGAAGTGTCTGCCTCTGTTCCCATGGCAGTTCTGCTGAGTAATAATCACCTGGCAAACTGCAGCAGCATGGCAGGGGAGCTCAGGGCTGCAATTTAGGAAGAGGATTCTGAGGGAGGCGAGAGTCTTTGCTAATGCTTGGCTGGATGTAAGAAATGTTCTGTGTTAAGAATGTGTTTTCTATCAAACGATGTCAGTGGTCCACAGCATTTGAGGTACTTAATGCAAATGGGAGAAGCTGATGCTTTTTGTCTACTTGATAGTGGAACAAGGAAAACTGAGGAAAGTTTTTGGAACAACTTTATTCTTCACATCTTTCCTGGGAAAAAAAAAATATTCAGGTGGCCTGGGCTCTGTGTCATTTATTCTTTCTGAGCCCTTAGAGCCGGATTTCTTCTTTTGGCTTTTCACAGGAGATTGGTCCAACAGAAAACAGCTGATCCAGGAGCTCAGCTGGATCCAGGCTGACCTGCTGTTTAGTAAGCCCCTCCAAGCTCAGTTAAAAAACTTCAGTTTTCTTCTCCAAATTAGGTT